ACTGACTGTGCTTTGCTTGCATTTTTAATGATGAAAATCCGAATTGAGATGCATTTCCTAACACTGCACAATGAGATACAGTTTATAAACGTTTTGTGGTCATATTTTTAAGCTGAATTTCTAAATTTAGAGCAGCAGGATGGAATGCAGAAACTTAAAGGGTACCATCGCAGATCGTGCCCTGCAGTGGAACTTTCCACCAGCGGACCCCCCCTCCCCCCTCCCCTCACTCACAGACACACAATCTCCACATCCAGGCACACAGACCATCTCCCAAATGATTGTTTATTTAAAAACCGAGTTATTCAAAGCAATAATGTTTAAGTAGTTTTTCTTTGTCAGAAATTAGTTCAATGAAATTTATCCCAGAATAATAATAATAATAATAATAAATAAAGAACAGGAGAGCATAGTGGATGCTTTACAACACAATTATTGTTCATTATTATTATGTATTTGATTTATTTTTATTTATTTTCTTCAGACATGACACTGCCAAAGGACAAAAATCAGGCCAGCTTGGATCTGGGTCTGGAGGAGGAGGAGGAGGCCGGCTACCAGCAAGGGCCTCGTCAAATGACAGAAGAGCCACAATGCTCAAATGCAGACTGCGGGAGGTGGCAGCAGTTTATGATGGAAGGGAAAAGGAGGCTAGAGCTTTTGGAGGAGGAGGTGAGAAAGCTCCGTGGCAGGTATCGAAAGCTGGCCAAGGAGGTCAACCGGCTTTCCAAGGTTAGTGAGTGAATTAAATTGGCTGACACTAGTGACAAAGTTACACAATTAAGCAAATAGAGAAAGAGAGATGAAAGTACTAAGCACTCAATATGTTTTTTACTCCACAGAGGAGGGATATGTACAAGAACATCTTGGTGCACCTGAGGTCACTTCCAGCTGCCAGACGGGCAGCTCTTATATCCCGAAGAACTGGGAAAACTCCACAGACACCAGTCAATACCAAGAGAAGGGAGATGTACGAGAACCTGATGGTGCGCCTGAGGCCACTTCAGTCTTCCTTCAAGGCCTCCAGGAGGGTGTTAAGAGCTGCCAAACGGGCAGCTCTTAAATCACCAAGATAAGAAAAAAAAAGTGTTAAACACTGACTTGTATATATTTTTTGTTCAGTTCAGTGTTATTTACTGTTTGTGTGTGTGTGTGTGTGTGCAAAAAAGTAGTTTTATATATAGTAGTAGTTGTAGTTTGTTATTTATTTTTTTGGGGGTGTTTTGTTCATATTAACAGATGTGAAATTTGGTTTTATTGTTCAAAGTGTTATTTACTGTTTGATTGTGTGCAGATAAAATGTTATATCATGTAGTGGTAGTTTATTTATATATATTTTTTGTTCAGTATATCAGATGTTTAAAATTAGTTTTATTGTTCAAAGTGTTATTTAGTCAGGGAATTGGATGATTTGATATGTGGTCGATTCTTTTAAAGCAAATGTGACACTTGATTGCAGTAATGTTTGCTTTAATAAAAAAAAAGTTTGGTTTGCAATTGAAAACAATCTCTTGGTCATTTGGTGCACCCACCACATCCATTTTAAGTCCAAAAATGCATTGTAACAATTATTTTTTATAAGGCCAATTTTCAAATAGAAGCTAGATTTGGATTTCCAATGTAAAATGGCTTGAACAAAGACAGCAGAAATTTACTCTGACATTTGGCAACCCAGACAGCCCATTTTAGGGGCTTCGCAGTGTCACAGATGAGAGCTGCTAGGTGTAACTGACTCTTGGCATGAAAATTAATATTAAACTGTGACATATTGGCATTTGGGAGGAAAGAGGGCATTGTGAGCAGCATGTGTTGCAAGTCTGGGGGTGCTGTGTCACCGTTTCCCCCTCAAAACATGTGAAAGGTCAATAGGTCAGCATGCATGCAGGCAGGCAGGCAGACAGGCAGGCTTCATTTGAGGCCTGCACACTTAAGGTGCAAATAATAATAAGTGTAAATAATAATAATATGCTTAGGCTAGATTATCAATGCCATCAAACGCTGAAGGAGCGCTTTAACATGTTGGGAAAGTGCATTAAAAGTGTTCTAAATAGCTAACACACACTTCAAGAAAGCGTGACATTTGGCAACCCGGAGGCTGCCATGTTGAGGGTTTCGAATTGTCAAAAAATGAGTAAATAAATCTATATGAGCGATACACATTAACAGAGGTGATTAAATAAAGAATAAATAATTTTCGCCAAGAGTGAGACGCGAACCCGCGGGGTTCGCATGCAAACGCAGCACTTTAACCATTCGGCTGTCTCTCCAGCACAAAGCTGCACACTGGGTTAAGGCAGATCCGCTGCTTTTGTCCCTGACCTGTTAAGGGTTTCGAATTGTCACAGACTGTAAAATAGCAAACCCCTAATGTATAAATAAATAAATCTATATGGTGCCAGAGCTGCACTGTCCTTAAAAACAGCTTTGTTTAAGAAAGCAAGCCCACCCAACCCCCACAGATTCGCACCTCATGATGAAAATCCGAATTGAGATGCATTTCCTAACACTGCACAATGAGATACAGTTTATAAACGTTTTGTGGTCATATTTTTAAGCTGAATTTCTAAATTTAGAGCAGCAGGATGGAATGCAGAAACTTAAAGGGTACCATCGCAGATCGTGCCCTGCAGTGGAACTTTCCACCAGCGGACCCCCCCTCCCCCCTCCCCTCACTCACAGACACACAATCTCCACATCCAGGCACACAGACCATCTCCCAAATGATTGTTTATTTAAAAACCGAGTTATTCAAAGCAATAATGTTTAAGTAGTTTTTCTTTGTCAGAAATTAGTTCAATGAAATTTATCCCAGAATAATAATAATAATAATAATAAATAAAGAACAGGAGAGCATAGTGGATGCTTTACAACACAATTATTGTTCATTATTATTATGTGTCTGTTTTTTTTTTTTTTCTTCAGATATGACACTGCCAAAGGACAAAAACACATGCCCGATATGCAGGCAGAGCTATGCGAACGCGTGGGCGATGTCAAACCACCTGCAGTACGGCCATGGAGTCTTAAACCTCCAAGAGCGCCAGCTCCTCCTAAACCTGGCGAGCAACAGGGTAAACAGACGGCTTCAGGCATGTCCAGTGTGCAATTACAACACCACCAGGCTGGACCAGCACATCCCCATTTGCCATATGGAGCTAAGTGAGGCACAGATCCAGCACTACCTGCAGTGGGGCATGAGAGTGAGAACCATTGCTTTCCTTCAAGAGCTGCGGGCCACAGACCCAGCAGTGCCGCTGGCCTCCTCCTTGGCTCTGGGTCTGGAGGAGGAGGAGGAGGGCGGCCACCAGCAAGGGCCTCGTGACATGACAAAAGAGCCGCAATGTGATAACCCAGACTGCGTGGCGCAACGGAGGAGGTGGCAGCAGTTTGCGATGGAAGAGGAACAGAGGACAGAGCGTTTTGAGGAGGAGCTGAGAAAGCTTCGTGGCATGCATCGAAAGATGGCCAAGGATATCAACCGGCTTTCCAAGGTTAGTGAGTGAATTAAATTGGCTGACACTAGTGACAAAGTTACACGATTAAGCAAATAGAGATGAAAGTACTAAGCACTCAATATTTTTTTACTCCACAGACACCAGTCAAGACCAAGAGGCAGATCAACCAGAACCTGATGGTGCGCCTGAGCCCACTACAGTCTGCCTTTAATGCCTCCAGAAGGGCGTTAAGAGCTGCCAGACGGGCAGCTAATAATTTTTTTGGTGTTTTGTTAAGAATAATAGATGTGAGAAATTGGTTTAATAGCTGAAAGTGGTATTTAATGTTTGTGTGTGTGTGTGTGTGT